GGCATATAAGTTGTTTCCTTTAAGCAAATTATTCCTAATAAATAAAGGGTTTGTTGGTAAGTTTTCTGGTTCACCAAAATAATTCTCAAATAGCCTGACTATTTTCTTTTGCATTGTTTCCAGCTTTTTCTAATTAGTAGTTGGTGTGGTACCCCAGACAAGTGTGCAATACAATTACCGGGAGTACAGTACTATCAAACCACAAGAGTTAACTGCCTGCCTGACTCCATTCATCACTATCATAAGCTTTACCCTCTCGATTTCCTCTTCTCATCGCACTTCCTTTTCTTTCCTACCCCTCGCTATACATGGCTTTGTCTGCATCACGCCATACATGACTATTCTACGGTTCACTGTCTTCGTCCCTCCATTTCGTCTTCCCACCCTCGCGTCACTACTCCTCGCCCTCATTTCTTTATCCCACTCATTGCTATTCATGAGAATCATATACACGTTTTTGCCTTTATTACGTTATACATGCCTATCTTATGCTTTGCCCTCTCCCCACCACTTTCCTCTCCTCACTACCAATTCCCTTTCCCACTCTTTGGTATATACGTGGCTATGCTATATTTTAGGAGTATGATAAACTGGTCAAGTAGATATTAATTTGTAGCGCCACGCTAGATTTGGCCAGCTGGCCATGCCTAAACAGAAGCGAGCCAGATGGCACGTGAGGCGCGAGCCATGAAGAATTTTAGGACGGCCTAGCATCGGAACCTGGCAGGACGTTGCAGCGGCGACTCCGCGTATGCCTACGTCCCGAATAAAGCCGTGACCTCGGCACGGGTTCATCGCCGCCGTCTCGCCCCTCTTTCCTCTACATATGGTCACCCGGAGAACGCGCCCTTCGACGAGCCATCGGCTGCCATGTTTCCGCGACTCTGCCCGCCAGTGCCGCCGTTCGAATCCACCTACCTGAAAGTATGGTTTATGCAGATCGACGCCGTTCTTGTGGTAAATGGCGTCACGGACCAGCCGCTGATGCACGCCATTCTTGTCGACGCCCTTCTGGTAGAGCTGTGTCATCTCGCTGCAACTTCAAGCTGCGGGACGCAGCCGTACGATGACCTCTGCTTTGTGTGCTGGCCTCCTACGGCCTCACCTATCATTCGCTTTCGTTCACCCGCGACTTCCAGGTTTCCCCTGCATCGCAGCGTGTGGTACCCTCCGTCCCAAAAGTCTCCACTGACCGGGACCTAGCTTCCCCGACTACGTCTCCTACAACCTCTCGTCCGGCAGTGCCGATGCAAGTCTCGCGCTTGACTGCCCATCCGACGAGGTTCAGGACATTCGTGCTGCATGCGACCAGTCAGCCACGCGATCCAATGAGGTTCTTAAAGACGTTCCTGCCGCCAACGACCGGGTCACCACCAGGTGCATTTTTTCGAAGTCCTCGGCCGATGGTCCCTCCGGCATTCTCACCACCCGCACGTCTTCTCCGATCTACACAGAACATGACTTCTCGGACATGTCAGGCTCCACGACGGCTACATCGCCGCATGCCCCGGAGTCTGCCGAGTCTACGCATATCCCCACGCTCGCTATTTACCTGCCGGTCACAGAACCTTCACCGTCCACGATGTCCGAAAGCAACTCTCTACGAATCCCAATGCTCTGTGTGTCCTGCCAGCAGCAACCAGCATCGCCCTTACAGTCTAACGCAGCCGAAGTTAAAGCCAGCACACTTCAACCACAGCCAAACCTCCAAGACGCTGCGATTATGACCGACGCTCCAGAGGACGACGTGCCTGGTCCACCTACGGGACAGCAGACCGCACATGTCACACTTGCCGTAGAGGCAACCATCTGCCATACCGACATGCGCACGGACCCATGTGCGCCAACTACTGAACGTGTTTCCCCAATTCAACGTGCGTCCGCTGAGCCTCCTCGAAAGTCTGCACCTGCTGTATCCCATGGCACGCCTCCTATCGAGTTCTTGACGGAAACCGTTGACCAGCAGGCATGTAACTGAACACTAGGCATGCCCTTTTACAAGCCGCAGACGTCATTCACCTCTACCCGACGTGTGCAATGCTACTTAACCACTGCCAATGTAAGCGGTCAAGTCCACTCATACTTGGATACCGCAAAAATCACGACACTTAAGTGTCTACATCGGCGTCAGCGCTGTGCACGCCCGCGAAAGCACCATCCAAGCAGTTGCTTATGGGTGGGTGGTCTGCAAAACTTCACTGCACCACTTCTCATTGTTTTGTGCACAGGGGCTACATCAGCTTTTGTGCAACCCTCATCTCACCCTGAAGGCACCTATACCTGCAATACTCACTCGTGGTACACTGTGCGCTCCCGGCTGGCCCCAGCTGGTCATCCTGTCATCCACTTGTGTACGATCACAGTGACCCAACGCTTACTTTTTTGTCCTCTGCGCCACTCCCAGTGTCGCCCCCGAGAGACCCACTGGTTCCTGATGGTCTCTTCACGTTGACGACTCAGACTTACCCACGGACAATCCACGGACAGTCATGTATATAGTCTCTGTCTCTTTTGATTTTCCTTTTGTACATGTGCTTAAAATCACGCAAAGCGCTAGGAAGGGTGGAGGAGGGGGCTATGTAGCGCCACGTTATATTTGGCCAGCTGGCAGCGCCGAAAAAGAAGCGAGCCGTCACCGCCGTCTTTCCTCTCCTTCCTCTACAAATTCTTTACCTTGCAGCCTCAATAAGTTTCGTCATTCTTTTTACGCTGTAACATGCTATGCTTGCTTCTTACTGTCTAGCGGTATAGATTATCTTAGTTTAATTTGCCATGTTTCGTTTCATCGTCCCCCCGGCCGCCTTTCTCACCCTCACATGAGTTTGCCTTCGTCATACCATGCATGACTATATGCTATGTTTTACACTCTTACCTTCTTTATATTTTTGTTTCCCTCATGTCAATCCTACCCACTATCACTTACCACTCTCCCTCTTTTCCCACTCACTGCTTTATATGACAATACACATAGGTTTTTTGCCTAGCGCGAAGCGATGACATAAAGCGCCAAGCGATGACATAAAAAGATATCATACGATGGCTAATGATTCCCTTCCTCCCTTCCCTTTTTCTTACCCCCGCACTGCTTCTTTTTAGCCTCACTCCCCCTTCCCGCCTTCTTGACTGCACATGATTATGCTTAGATTGCTATGCGTTTTTTTTTTGTTTTGCTTGCGTTACGCCAAGAGACACGAGACGACGACAACATATGGCAGCCCAGGCACCACAAGGGCTTCAGACTTAAAAAAGTAACCATCATACCATTTTTTTTCTGTCTCTGAATTTGGTGTGAAAAAGCAAATTGCGTGGCTACTTTGACTACTTATCGTGTGAATTCTGGCTGCTTTTCAAAAAACCCAACGGTGATCCTGGAATGTGGTCCCCGTATCTGGGTTTATATTGACTGTGAAGCCCGTGTGGCACATTGCATCCACATATGAAGCACAGCGTAATTTGAGAAGAAAATGCGCACGTTGATTAACAAGGTGCGGTCGCGGGCGCGCGCATCATACAGCCATTCGTAAAAGTCTTTTATACCCTTTCACGTGCCATGTTCTCATCACTTACTTTGCGTTGAAATTACAGACAGCAAGAAAACTGATTCGCACTGTGAAGCAACCTTATTCTCTTAAGTTTGTGCTTTGTAGGGTTACGTGGCATTGAACGCAGAAGAGTTAGCTGCCAGTCTTACTTCGTATAATATTTCAAGTGGTTGCTCTCGCAATAATTTTTCCACCCATGAGAAAAAAAAAACAGATTTTTTTTCAGTAATGCTGCTATACAGTTCCTTTCAACTTTCCCTGCATCAAGCCTCCGTTGCTACTTTTTCAGTAGGAGCACTCCTTCTTTTGTTTTGCTTTTAACGACAGTCTAAATTACCTATGCTGTTCGACATCGCTCTACAGTTTCATTTTCCATTGTAATTCGATAGGTCCTGAGCTCTGATGATTTAATACGCTATCCGGGCCCCGAAGTTTGCAGCCTTAACTAATGTTCATTTTCTAATGGAAAGAAGTGCCGCCGTGACATCGTGCATGCCAAAAAATGTTGGCGAGGCGAAGGGTCAGTCATGTTGAGGCCATGCAGAAATCTCTACGCAAACAATGAACACGGTTTGCGCTGTTCCATCCGTACTCCAGTTTCATTGCCACGGTGTACCTTTGCTGTGGCGTGACATGACTTTATATCAAAACGTTCTAGCTATGACACCAAAAAAGTTGTATAACATTCAACTTGTTCTGTCACATAACCATAATTTGGTATCTGCCGTTACTACTACAAATCGCCCGAAGCAATATTCTCATTATCAAACATTCTTGGGCTAGTAGGAATAGCATGCTGTATTTTTGGGCGCGCTTGAAGAAACGAGGAGAAACTGAGACACGCAGCATTATCGTTCGTGTTTTATGTGTGCCTCTCTACGGCCTTGTTTTTCAAGCGTGTACCAAATAGGACATTACATTTGTTTTTATTGAGAATTATATGCCACTCATTTCACCAAATGTTCTGTGTTTGTATCGGTTTGGAGCTTATCACGATCACAGGAAGAAAAAATTGCTCGGCAAATGACACTGACGTCAAGAAACCTATGCTCAATAATCGTGACGTCACAACAGTTATTTATGCAGTAGGAAAAGCAGGATGCCCGAAACTTACTTCTGAGGCAAGGTTTTGCCAACAGGAGACAGTGAAGTGCTTTGGTTTTTACAATGGCGTTTGGACTTTACATCCCCAAGAGGCGGAGTGATTTGATGGATTCCAAACAAGATATCTTCAAGATTTTTTTCGCCATTCCTAACTCTTAAACTCTAGGCACAGTCCACAGGTGTGTTTTTTTCTTTTTCTTTAAATGGGGGCTTTGCTCCTCAGAAAAATAATTTTGTAATACTGGACTTCTTTAGGGGGTGTTTCTTCAGATAGATATTGTTAGTGTGTCAGGCGAAACGTTGTGAGGTCATGTGCTGAAAGAAAAATTAGTGATTATCTTTACATTTTATTAGGTGTGTTGGAGCCGATGACAAGAAATGCGAAAGTTCTTTTGCCAACAAGACAGAGCCATTTCCTGCCTGCTGTGGTCCAGCTACTGTTTGCGTTAAATAATGACACCAGGAGATGGTAATCATTAATGTTGAATGCAGCATGCGTGCATCATGTCTTGCTCACCAACACATGGAGCCTATACTTTATTACCGTAAAAATAATATTCCTTATAAATGTATGGCAATCGCAAGACAAGGGAAATAAAGCTTTGCTCGACCCAGCCCGGTGTATTATTATTATTATTATTATTATTATTATTATTATTATTATTATTATTATTATTATTATTATTATTATTATTATTATTATTGGATACACATGGTCAGAGAGGAAATAGGGAGAAAACATGCTAACAACTGCCACCTAAAAGGGCACAAAGTACGTTTGCCTGCTCCTTAGGCAAAAGGGAAACACCGAAGAAAGAAACGTAGTAAAAAATAATGCGGAAGAAAAGAGTACTTCATTCTATTGAAAAAAAAAAAACCAGCTAGTGTTTACAGAGAGCCAACGCTGATCAACAGTAAAGTGAGAGAGTTCATACAGTTGGTGAAAAAGTTCTGCCCCAAGAGTGCGCAATGAAAACAGGGTCCATAGTGTTACAGCATAATGACGAACTGGCAAAGCTTTTATGTGCCACCTAACGAATTGGACTGGTGAACACTCAAATGACCGGAAATTTTCTGAATTGTTTTTTTTTCACGATGATCTGAATGAATATGCAAAGAACGGCACTTACGTTCTGGCAGACTTATGTTCTGGCACATAAGACATATGTTCTGGCACATAAAAATATAAAATATTAGAAAGACTATGACAATCCCAATGACAATAAACACCAGTCGAAAACAGCGTACCGACCGAGTGGTAGTCAATTTACAGCCCACAGAATGTACCAGTTCACTGTTTCATTCACGGAAGTGCGAAATATTTACGCCTATAATGCTCTCGTCATTTCTGTGACAAGCGGCTTGTGGAACTAATTCATATGTCCCAAGGATTAAGCCGGTAACTGATTCATTTAGCGGTCTCATAACTCAGCACATCTTCTTTAGGACTGTCGCTGCGGTGTTGCGAACTAATATATAAAATTACCCCACGTGACAGTAAAAATTACCCTACTTTACACTACACAATTCTTTTTAAATGCAAAGAATTCCTTAGCGTATGGTATGGCTGGGCAGAGATACCTAGGAAAGCATTCCAGAATAGTGATTGAAATGCATGCGTTGTCAGCCTGAAATACGCATACTGAGGTACAATTGTCTCTGACATAACAAAATATTTTGGAAATAGTTCGGAAGATATTTCGAAAAGAAAAATATTCCGGAATACAGACACAGGAATACAGATACAAGAATACAAATGATCAGAATACTTCTTCTTTTTTTTATTTTGGGAATTCATATCATTTTGGGAATTCATTTCATTTTGGGAATTCATTCATTTTGGACATTCATTTGGCTAAGAATATTATTCTAATTATTGTTTCACCCCATTGAAACTCCCAGTCAAGCATATCACTCAGTTTACTAACGAACACCAGTCAATTAAGAAAAAGCATACATTATTGTAGACACAAGGTATGTTTTTTCGGGACGCGGTTGTTGTTTTTACTGCTCTTAAACAACAGGAACTGTTTAAAAAACTATCATTTTGATAATGTCTGTACGGCGTTGACACAAAACTTTTCAAATGGCTCGCCACTCGAAAAGATTTGGGGTGTAGTATGCCTGTCTTGAGAGACTGCAACTTTCGTCAGCATAGCATCACAATTTTGTCTCTATGATTCCACTGTCATGGTGTAAGGCGCTTTACCACATACGTCACTTTGTGCGTGTGTACAGGGGTCTTTTACCGCGCCACCTTCAAGGCGATCGCCGGCGTGCCTTTGCATGTCTCAACAAAAAATTTTCCTTTCTCAATTGGGAGTGGGGAACTTTTCGCCACATGAAATAATTAGACACCATTCTCCTGCCTAGTATGCCGATAAAATCAATACACTCTTAAAGTGTTTCACCACTGCGGTACAAGTAGATGTTTTCAGTTGTATCTCGATACAGATATACAGATTTTCAAGAGCATGCCTGAGATACTATCCTGATACTCTGGTATCACGATACTGTCCAGCACTGGTGGTCTATCTATCTATCTATCTATCTATCTATCTATCTATCTATCTATCTATCTATCTATCTATCTATCTATCTATCTATCTGTCTATCTGTCTATCTGTCTGTCTGTCTGTCTGTCTGTCTGTCTGTCTGTCTGTCTGTCTGTCTGTCTGTCTGTCTGTCTGTCTATCTATCTATCTATCTATCTATCTATCTATCTATCTATCTATCTATCTATCTATCTATCTATCTATCTATCTATCTATCTATCTATCTATCTATCTATCTATCTATCTATCTATCTAGCCGCCTACGACTTCTACCTCTCCTGGCCGTTTCGATAATGGTAACAATACCAAAATTGGTATGGCATAATATAACTGTATAATGAGCTTAAGTGACTAGTCATAACAAGAAAATCATGAAATGTATGTCATGATTGTCATGATTTACATTTCACAATCTTGCTGCTCTTGCGGTGGTTTCATTCACATGACATGTTGCAAAACTGGTATGGTATGGCATGACTGCATGGCGAACACAAGCGACAGAGACCCTAACATAGAAATCACGATATGCGCGTCATTTAACAACGTGACTACATGCCACACTAATGATGCGCTCGCGGCCGTTTTGCTAGATTCGCATATACCAAATTTGGTATTACGAACGTGAATGGATAGGAACGTGTGTGACTGATGCAAACATGATAATATTGGGATGCGTGTCATGTAAAAACATGATTATAGGCTACGCTCATGATGCACTGACAGCCGTTTCGCTAGCTTCACTTATGCTAAATTTGGTATTACGGGTCGTGTGTGGATTACCAAAGTATGGGACAGGTGCTAACGTGATAATCATTATATGCGTGTCATTTAACAGCATGGCTACATGCCACGCTCATGATTCGCTCGCGGTCGTTTCGCTAGCTTCACTTATGCCGAATTCGGTATTATGAGACGTTAATGAATGACGAAGGTATGCCACTGGGATAATCATTATATGCGTGTCATGTGAGTGAGTGAGTGAGAACAACTTTATTATGGTCCAGTGCAGACGCTAAAGTTGCCACGCGTAACCCGGCTACTCTCACGTGGGGACCGGCCGGTCTAGCCTGACGGCCCGGTCGCGGGCACCCTGGAGGGCCAGGACTTGGTACTGAAGTTCTGGGCTGCGCAGAAGCGCATTCCACTCGGTTTTGCTATAAGTCGGTCCAAGCGACCCGCCCTCCCAGAGCATGTGTGCTATTGTAGTGGTGAACATGACTACACGTCACGCTCATGCACCCTCGGCCCCTTCGCTAGCTGCACCTATGCCAAATTTGGTATTACGGGACGTGAATGGATGACGAAGGTATGTGACTGGTGTAAACATGATAATCACTATATGCGTGTCATGTGGTGGAAATGGTGGAAGTGTGCTGGCAAAGTGGTGGAAGTGTGCTGGGTACGCAAAGCTGGAACTTCGACGCCAGAAGCTGCCCACTGCATCAGCAATGCCTGATCAGACGACCGAGCAAGGTGCCACCCAACAAAGCACGGCCCAATCTCAACTGGTCATCGTGCCTACCACCCTGCGCCAACGGGATCCCCCCTTCTTCAGCGGCACCGAGGACCAAGAGGTGGAAAACTGGTTGCATCTGTTTGAAAGGTGAGCGCTGCCAACAAGTGGGACGACCCCTCGAAATTGGAGTACGTCCCATTTTATCTCAAAGACGTTGCCAGCCTGTGGTTCAGAAACCAACGTGCTGAATTTAACACTTTGGGCAACTTTCAAGACCATTCTTGCAGCTGTGTTTGATCGCCCCGCAGTGCGCAAGCTGCGTGCTGAACAGCGCTTACGCGGATCTGCACAAAGGCAGAGCGAAAACTTCAAGATATATATTGAAGATGTTATCGATTTATCCCGGCGCTGTAACCTTCAGATGACCGAACAAGACAAGATCAGGCATATCTTAAAAGGCATAGACGATGATGCCTATCAAATGTTGCTGGCAAAGGGCCCAAGTACCGTATCCGAACTTGTGACCTTGTGCCAGAGCTTGGAAGAGATTCGGAAACAACGTGCAGCAGTTCGGAGGTCGACGACAGCAGACGACTCTCTCGCTGCCCTGGCCGTCGGTGATGACAGCATTCTGCTGGAGCAGATAAAAGAATATGTACGCGAAGAGGTCGCACGACAGCTTTCGTGTCTCTCGTATCTGCCGACTACCGAAGCACCAACGAACCGCCTAACGTCGACTATCAGACAGGCTATTCGGGAGCAGGTCTCCAAGGCGTTGCCATTACCTACGTCTGCCTCCACCAACACCTGTTGCCGCGCCACTGACTTGTGCGGCCGTCGCGGCAATGCCTCCTCCTCGTCTGCCAATGTATACGCCACAACTTGTGCAACCGTCCACCGCGCCGTTTCCAGCTAAACAGCAGCACGCCGGAAATTCGATTGGCGCACTGCTGACAACCTGCCCATATGTTACTTTTGCAAAATTCCAGGCAACGTTGCACGTCTATGTTGTCGGCGCTTTGCAGTTAACGCACCAAGATACCCTGATTACTTCTTTCAGCCTTCATACCCCGGCACCTCCACCACTTTTGCAAGGGAGTTTAATATCGACGCCAGGTATTAGGTAGACAGCCGGTACGGACACAAATACTCGAGCAGTCCAGCGACTATAGCTCGTGCACACGCTCGTGCTTCGCACTCAAAGATGGTCCCACTGGTCATTGCCTTGTGAATTCCCCGCTACACATGTAACAGCATGACTACATGCTACGCTCATGATGTGCTCGCGGCCGTTTCGCTAGCTTCACACATGCTGAATTTAGCATAACGCCAAGTGAATGGATTACGAAGGTACCTGACTGGTGCAAATATGATAACCTTCAGATGCGTGTCATGTAAGAACATGACTACATGCTACGCTCATAGCACGCTCGCGGCCGTTTTGCTAGCTCAACATATACCAATGTTGGTATTACGTGACGTGAATAGACGACGACGGTAAATGACGCGTCCAAACGTGATAATCATGGCATGCGTGTCATGTAAGACTTGACTACATGCTATGCTCATAGCATGCTCACGGCTTTTTCGTTCGCTCCAC